TGAAAGACCAAATATAACTGAGAAACAGTGTGTTATTTAGCTTTCTTTCTTTTGAATAAATGTTAACCTCTACTGTGTCAAGAACTTTACTATTGGTGTGTCATTTTGGTTATAGTTATTTTGATTATTAATTAATAAGTATTTTTAATGATCATTAATCTTTCTGATAGTCATTTGAAAACTTTGAACCATGATTTCCCGCCATGGGAGTATTAGTGGAATATTCATGTTCATGAGTCATGTTAACCGCTCAGTAGGAATATGGTCTTTTTTGGAATAAGGGTGAAATCCAGAATATTTTGTGCATGTAAAGTCACTGTAGTTTATTTTGACCCAATCCCAGATACACGTCACTGCCACTAGAGGACCAGATGTGTATCAGTCCACCGCTGAAAATAGTCCCAAACATGCATTATTCTCTTGTTTTTTGACTAAAGCTACAGTGACCAGCTGAACTCTTCTGTCTTCTTCTCTCACAGACTACAGTTGGTCCACGATGGGTTGAATCTAAATGTCCACCCTCTGGACCTGCAGACTGAGCCCTCGCAGACTTCAGCTGTACGTAGAGTGACTTATTTACTGTCATCACGTGGAGTCTGCGAGGGCAGAGACTGCAAGTGACTATTTTACTCGTTGCCATGGAAACGTTCAACTACCGCTCCTGTCATATTCATATATATGTCATATAAGTTGATGAACAGTGCTGAACTCATGTGTCCCTGCTGATAACGAGATATAAATCACATGTATAGCCTTTTTTGGTTGTTGAAAAACCCACAACATCACATCTGTATTGCGATGAATTGTGGGTTATTAAATCAGGGACACCTGCTGAAGTCTGCACCCCAAGCGGACTCTCTGGAAGTCTGCAGAAAGTCCACCTGAGGCCCCTTGTGGACTGGATGAGTTGTGGATTTGGAGCCCTCAGCACTCCCAGACGTCCCGGGAATGTGCCCACAAAGTCTGCGAGTCTGCAAGTGTGGTGAAGTGCAGACATTTGGATTCAGCCATGGAGACAAAGACAAACAGCTGTACCTCTCTTCCTGTTTGATCTGATGTCTTTGAAGACTATTTGTCCGTAACTGACGTCGTCTGCTCTTCTCACTGCTGAGTAGACGGCAGCTGGATCGCTCTCTGGGAAATAAAATACATGTAACTTATATTAACGTACATTACTGCAGGTAGTGCACCTGATACTGTTACTGTTAGCTTAGGACTGCTAGCGTTAGCACCAGCTACTGATAGCAATATAAAGACGATTAACACTACTGCTGTGTGATTATTGTTCATGTTGAATTATAATCAGATTTGTGATGGACTCTAAAATGTCTGCAGGTTGTGGGCGCTGCTGTGAAAGACCAAATATAACTGAGAAACAGGAAACTGGACCACCACAAAGCTGCTCGCTGCGATTAAAAAAAACGTTGGCACATTGAACCACAGGGTGCAAAAGGCGTCACTGTCAGGTAAAGCAGACGAGACTATCGTGAGAAACCTGACCAGCCTCACGCCACAGCTCACTGGAATCAACAGGAGGAAGTAGCTGCTGTGGTTTAACATGCACAGTGAAAAAAACAATATTAGATGCCAGTTTGAGGCGTAGGAAACTTTGGTCTGCGGCTTAGCTTCTATGCAGTTATCTCTGTTGGCGGCCATTTTGTTTTGTGTGTGTTCACACTCGTGTTTTTGTCTCTCCTTTTCACACACATTTATACACTCACACTTGAATATAGTAACTTGTTAGGATATACTGTGTGTTATTTAGCTTTCTTTCTTTTGAATAAATGTTAACCTCTACTGTGTCAAGAACTTTACTATTGGTGTGTCATTTTGGTTATAGTTATTTTGATTATTAATTAATAAGTATTTTTAATGATCATTAATCTTTCTGATAGTCATTTGAATACTTTGAACCATGATTTCCCGCCATGGGAGTATTAGTGGAATATTCATGTTCATGAGTCATGTTAACCGCTCAGTAGGAATATGGTCTTTTTTGGAATAAAGGTGAAAACCAGAATATTTTGTGCATGTAAAGTCACTGTAGTTTATTTTGACCCAATCCCAGATACACGTCACTGCCACTAGAGGACCAGATGTGTATCAGTCCACCACTGAAAATAGTCCCACACATGCATTATTCTCTCGTTTTTTGACTAAAGCTACAGTGACCAGCTGAACTCTTCTGTCTTCTTCTCTCACAGACTACAGTTGGTCCACGATGGGCTGAATCTAAATGTCCACCCTCTGGACCTGCAGACTGAGCCCTCGCAGACTTCACCTGTACGTAGAGTGACTTATTTACTGTCATCACGTGGAGTCTGCGAGGGCAGAGACTGCATGTGACTATTTTACTTGTTGCAGTGGAAACGTCCAACTATCTCTGCTGACTTATTCATATATATGTCATATAAGTTGATGAAGAGTGCTGAACTCATCTGTCCCTGCTGATAACGAGATATAAATCACATGTATAGCCTTTTTTGGTTGTTGAAAAACCCACAACGTCTCGTCCGTATTGCAATGAATTGTGGGTTATTAAATCAGGGACACCTGCTGAAGTCTGCACCCCAGACGGACTCTCTGAAAGTCTGCAGAAAGTCCACTTGAGGCCCCTTGTGGTCTGGATGAGTTGTGACTTTGGAGTCCTCAGCACTCCCAGACTTCCCGGGAATGCGTCCGCAAAGTCTGCGAGTCTGCAAGTGTGGTGAAGTGCGGACATTTGGATTCAGCCACGGAGACAAAGACAAACAGCGGTACCTCTCTTCCTGTTTGATCTGATGTCTTTGAAGACTATTTGTCCGTAGCTGATGTCGTCTGCTCTTCTCACTGCTGAGTAGACGGCAGCTGGATCGCTCTCTGGTAAATAAAATACAGATTACATTAGTGCAGGTTCTGCAACTGATACCAGAACAGTTAATATAAGCACTGCTTCTACTACTGTAGACAAACAACAAAAAGAATCCAGATTATATGAGCTCCTACTACAATCAATAATTATAAAATATAATTTGAAATATGATTTCATATAGTTTTAGTAAAGGAAGTAATAAAAATTGATTAATTAAAGCAGCAAATATCAGGAAATAACTTAAAGACAGATGTGTAAAAGCTCAATCTGTAAACTGATGTGCAATTTATGTTTTGATAATTTTTCCTTATTAACACTTTTCCTAAGTGAAAGCTGAAAAGAAACCCCAAACCACATGAAGGGGACCACTGCTAACATTTATAAAGATATGTCAACACGTTGACCACAGGACAAACAAGTCAGGATGTTACAAACTACACCATTATTAATTATTAAAAAATACAAATATGAAATATGAAAAACGACTGTCAGCCAAGATTTAGATGTAAATACTAACATTGTAAAGTGTTGGTGTCACAAACGTGAACACGGACTGAATATGACACAACAAGGAAATTAAAAAAAGCATTTAAGTATTAACATTGAATAAACTGATTTAAAACAGTGTTTGTGTAAAACAGAACAACAGTTTCTTCATTGAAATGTGATCAGAGTATAAAGAGATGTGTAAATCTGCACATTTATAATTAATTCATATTACTTATTTGTTTGTTCACAGCCCTGTGGTGAAATGTGTGCAGGTTTACATTCAGCTGAAGTATTTTTATCAGACACTGGAAACTGGACGACCACAGAGCTGCTAGCGCCTGTTAACCACAGGGTGCAAAATGCACACATGCAAAGCACAACACACACTTAAATACACCACTGCAGTCTGAAACTTCATGGACTGAAAACATTGATTTACACGCTTTATAAAATATCCTGCTTAAAAAAACTCCTCATTTTCCAAAATGTCCTGTTAAGTTCTAAAACTCAGAACGGTCCTCTTAAGGATATAAGAACAAAAACTGGACACACACACACACACACACACACACACACAGTCACCGTCCCTGAAAGTCCACTTAAAATCAATAAAACCATCATTACCTTTGCTCCGTCTGATTGGCTGCTGTAGGTTACGTGATATATTGACATCACTGTATGTGATGTCATCTCTGATGTCATCATCTCCAACTTCAGCAGCTGCAAATGAACCAAAATAAACATAAATTATGAACAATTTGAATCCTGATGTTTGAGACAACAAGAAAAATAAATGCTCAAATGGGGCTTATTATGCTTTTCCTTGTTTTCTGTCATGTTTATAATGTTTCACTGTCTGATGTTGAACGTGGCCAAAGTTTTAAATAATAAGGTCAACGTGTGTCAGAGTAAAAACCACAGGAGGCTTCAGACCGTTCTGAATGAAACAAGCTGACGTCAGCTCGTCATGGATTCCTCTATGTGCTCATCTGCTCCAGACACGCTACTGCAAGTGTTTACATCACATACACCGCTACATGTAGCTACATGCTAACACCAGGGAAACATTACATACACTGCTACATGTAGCTGCATGCTAACACCAGGGAAGCATTACATACACTGCTACATGTAGCTACATGCTAACACCAGGGAGACATTACATACACTGCTACAGCTGCACTCCAACAAACCAAGAACAACCTGGCTCACTGCGATCGACAAGTCGGGGCTCCCAGGAAAACTCAAAGCCTGGATGTACCAACATGGAGTCCTGCCGAGACTTCTGTGGCCCCTTCTTGTCTATGAGGTGCCCATGACCACTGTGGAGGCGCTGAAAGGAACCATCACCCAGTTTCCCCAGAGGTGGTTGGGGTTCCCTCGGTCCCTGTGCAGCATTGCCCTGTATGGGCATTCCACTAAGCTGCAGCTTCCCATCAGCGGCTTGTCAGAGCAATTCAAGGTTGAAGGTCGAATTCAAGGTCGAAGGTCGAATTCAAGGTTGAAGGTCGAATTCAAGGTGGAAGCTAATGGGGATCCTAATAAAGAATAAAGGTCACACATGCCAGGGAGGTCTTGATGTACCGAGATTCCTCTGATGTTAAAGTCACCTCAGCAGGAATCCTTGTAAAGACCGGAAGGAAGTGGAAGGTACAGGAAGCAGTTGACAGAGCGGAGGGACTGCTACAGCATAGCATTTTGGTTGTGGGCAAGACTCGGCAGTTTTACCAAATCACGCTATGACAAAGCCAGTGGGAGGGAGAAGCGTCAGCTGGTGCAGGATGAGATCTGAGCAGAGGTGGAGGAAGACCTCCAGATCAAGACTGTCTGCATGTATCAACAAGGTGCCCGGACCAGGTGGGAGCATGCTGAACAGCGTAAGATCATCTGGTCAGAGCTCTGGAGAGTCGGACCTCAGAACATCAACTTTCTCATCCAGTCAATTTACAACGTTCTCCCCAGACCAGCCAATCTGCATTGCTGGGGCTTGGTAGACACTCCAGCATGCCAACTGTGCCAGAAGAAAGGCACTTTGGAGCACATTCTCAGCTGCTGCTTGAAGGCATTGGGGGACGGGCAGTACCACTGGCACCATGACCAGGTTCTTAGGGCCTTGGCAGATACCGTCAGCAGAGCGATTCAAGACAGCAAGTACCAGCACATCCCCAAGCAGTCCATCACCTTCATCAGAGCTGGGGAGAAGGCACAACATCAGCCAAGCGCCTCTGGAGGGCTTCTTGTCACCGCATTGGACTGGCATCTCCAAGTTGACCTGGGAAGGCAGCTCACCTTCCTTTAACACATCTCAGCCACTTTGCTCCGCCCAGACATGGTGTTAACATCAGAGCCAATAAAGCAAGTGGTCCTAATGGAACTTACTGTCCCCTGGGAAGACCGGATTGAAGAGGCCAATGAGCGGGAAAGGGCCAAATACGTAGAACTGGTGGTGGAGTGGAGGAACAATGGCTGGAAAGCCCGTGTCGAACCAATCGAGGTAGGGTGCTGCGCTGAAAGAGCCTCACGATGGCTGTGGATCCGGAGGGGGGATCCGTGGAGTAGTGGGCCACTTGGACACAAATCGGGGACTACGGCTACAGGGGCGAGGAAATAAAACCTGAACAGCCAATCAGAGTGATCTCTCTCACTGACAAGCTCCGCTGCCGATTCAACATGCTCAATCGGCCGAAAAGCCGCCAACAGAGGTCCGACTAGTGCCAACAGTGCGGGACACACCGCAAAAACTAGGGCGACAGACGCTCACTGACGGCCCTAGTGTGTCAGCACCATTACAATCGTTCCCCGGCTGCAGTGACGGAGCAGAGACGCAGAGATACAGAGGACCCAGAAACATTGATCAGATCAGACGAGGCTTTTTGGGGAGGGGGTCTTAAAGAGACAGGAGGTAATACGGAGCGTCTCAGACAGACAGTGGACGCAGGTGTTCCAGCACAGACAGTATGAGGACAATAAAGTGTTTTTAACATTAAAACACGGAAACAAATGAAAACCTTAAATACAAGTATGAAGTATGAATGAGCAGAATAAGTCCCCTTTAAAGAAAAATGATCATCTACAATTTCAAACTTCATCTGCTGAGGAAGATCATGTGATACAATCAAAAGCTTCAGAGTGAACTAAATGGACCTCGTGGTGAAGATGTTTGTTAACAACAGAATTATAATAAATTATAATAATTTATGAGAAACCAAATGGACGTTTGACTTCAGGAGTCAGTTTGTAAATAACACTGAAACACTGTGTGTCTGTTTTGTGTCTGTATCTCACCTTTAGGTGTCCTGTGGATGAATCGTCTCACCAGTAGAACCAGCAACACCAGGAACACCAGAACACAGACAGGTGAAACCACAGATGGTAATATGGAGTCAGGAGGGGAACCAGAGGTAGGTTTAGGTGAGGAAGAGGAGGAAAGACCAGAGGTAGATGTAGGAGGACTTGTAGTGGAGGGTTTCCCTAAAATCCAAAACAAAAAAAAACAATGAAAAGCACAACTTCACTTATGTCACTGTTCCTCTGATGCAGTTATTCAGATTTTAAAGTCGTCTCAGGTTGTTATTTTGCGTTCCAGATCCAAAAAAATAAACAATCAGAAAATAATTCCTAATATTCAGCTTATTAATGTGAATGTTGAATGCTGACACACTTGTTTCTTTGCTGTTTGCAAAGTTAGAAATGTTGTCAGATTATGGATATTAATAATTATGTTTGACCTCCTGACCTGTGACAGTGAGCCAGCTGGGTGGAGACTCTCCATGACCTGTGATGT